AGCCGTGAGCTATCGAGCCGACATTGGGTTTGTTGGGGTCATGGGATACCCCTCCGGAAAAGGCAAGGCTGGCTTAGGACACTCGGGCAGAATCAGGGTTTTTTGCAATAGTGAAGCAGGTTGTATAGGACGCAAACCGTTTTCAAGAGAACATATCTAAGGAGCCTATCCGCAAATCGGTTTTGGCCTCAGTGCTTGTGGATTCTCTTTCGAAGTACTTGTGCTGAAGAACGTATTCTTGCCGAAGGTGTGAATACCGAGCCGCTCCCACAACGTCATGCTGACCTCTTAGCCAGTCGACAACAAATGAACACTTCGCGAGACATGCGAGACGTATCCCTATGAAGCAGTCGGTCTGTTTTTAGGTGCCTCCTGCGGAGCAGCCAACCAAGGGGGATGATGACGCAACTTTACTGCACTTTAATGCATCGATGAGGATAGCTGACGATGTGAACACAGAGGCACGCCAATGTGAGTTTAATAACCTAGAGTCCGAAATCAGCAATCAAAACTCTGGCAGAGCTCAACGTCTTAGGATTGGAAGTCACAGATCCGCCGCCCGCCTCCAGATCAGCGTTTCAAGACAGAAGACGTCACAAACACCAAGGGCAATGATTTCGAAGACTACTTTCTGTGCCTAAGCTGCAGCTACGCAGATTGATGAACTATTTTGCATATCTTTGCATTTAGTTGTCATGGCATGTGTGAGTGCAATTAGTAACAAGGAAGCGGGAATTGCTGATGGGCATCTTTGAAATGGGCTACGAAAAGCCCTCGCCCATCCAAGAAGAAAGCCTACCTGTGGCACTGGCGGGCAAGTCCATATTGGCCAGAGCAAAGAATGGAACCGGGAAGACCGGTGCATTTGTGATCCCCATTCTCGAGAAGTGCAACACTACTAAGAATGCAATCCAGGGGTTGATCCTTGTTCCGACGAGGGAATTGGCATTGCAAACATCTTCAGTGGTGAAAGAAATTGGGAAGCACATGAACATCCAGTGCATGGTCTCCACAGGTGGAACAAGCCTACGAGAAGACATCATGCGACTGTACAATGAAGTCCACATAGTAGTGGCCACTCCTGGCCGTGTGCTTGACCTTGCCAACAAGAACGTGTGCAACCTGAAGCAATGCCATATGGTAGCCATGGATGAAGCTGACAAGCTTTTGTGTCCTGAGTTTCAGCCAATCATTGAAGACCTTGTGAAGTTCTTGCCGCCAGAAAGGCAAATCCTGATGTATTCTGCAACCTTCCCCATGACGATTTTGGATTTTAAGAATCGCTTCATGGCGGATGCCCATGAGATAAATTTGATGGAAGAACTGACACTGAAAGGTGTCTCTCAGTACTACGCTTTTGTGGAAGAACGCCAAAAGGTTCATTGTCTCAACACTCTGTTCTCAAAGCTGCAGATCAACCAGGCGATCATTTTTTGCAACTCTGTGACGCGCGTGGAGTTGCTGGCCAAGAAGATTACGGAACTTGGATACTCATGCTTCTTCATTCACTCGCGCATGTACCAGTCTCACAGGAACCGAGTGTTTCATGACTTCAGGAATGGGGCGTGCCGGTGTTTGGTGTCCTCGGACCTGTTTACACGTGGCATTGACATCCAGTCCGTGAATGTTGTGATCAACTTTGATTTTCCCAAGAACTCAGAGACCTATTTGCATCGTATAGGGCGCTCAGGCCGTTTCGGTCACTTGGGCTTGGGCATCAATTTTGTGACCTATGATGACCGCTTCAACCTCTACCGCATTGAGAAAGAGTTGGGCACCGAGATCCAACCTATCCCGCCGACCATTGA